TGCTTGACTGGTCTTGTGATCCCTTGTTCTCCCCCACTTTGCCTATGGGGGTGTGTCAAATTATCATATTGTGTAGGCTATAGTGGGGTAGCCTATATGGGATACACATTTCTAGGGTTGCATATTTGTATCACTTCCATTCCTTAGTCATTCATTCTCGTTCACATTTTCTCAACGCGCCCTTTGAACTCGTGTTCTAGAAAGTGTGTTTGCTATGAGGACGCGTCACCTGAAGGCCAATCTTGCGATCATTCTGTGAAAGTTTAGAAGAAAGAAGAGGACTGCACTAGCAAGAATGGGGATACAAATAGGAAACCCTAGAAGGGTTGTACTCGCTATAGAGCACCCCACTACAGGCTAGAGCATAAGATAACATTCTGACACACCCCCATAGCCAAAGTGGGGTGTAATCAGCAGAGCAAGCAAAGCAGTACAAGCTCAGGGTGGATCACAATGTCACCACACATTCTGAGCACATGTTCAAGAAGCAATAGTTTAAAGTTAACAATTATGAGCAAAGCTAGTGGTAGTCACAACGGGCAAGTGAGGAGGAGGAGAGAGAGTGAGAGGAGAGGAGATAGGAGGCGACGGATGAAGCTGCAGACACATGGGCAACAGGAGGCACACTGGCACAGCGGCTACCGGAACAACGCTCCGGAATACTGGAGTAACTGGCCCCACGGCTAAAGTAGCGGCAGACAAGCAACGGACCCACGGGCGGCTGGCACAGCTGGCTACGACTGGGCTACCGGACGAAGTCCCCGGAATACAGGTGCTGCTGGCGACACGACGGCAACCTCCATTCAGCTTCCCCAAACGATCCCACTCCCCCTGACACACACCCGCTGCTACACCCCTAGCTCCACTCTCACCCCACCCCCTAGCACCACTCCGTCGAATCCCACACACCCACCCCCCTCAGCGGTAGCTGCAGCAGTGGGAGACAGAGGAGGAGGAGGAGGAGCAGGGGAGACTACACACCCGCCACCCCCCAGGTCGCCTCGACAGGCGACGGGAAAAGGGGGGGGGGGGGGGGGGGGGGGGGAGTGCACGTGCCGTAGGTAGGGCGACGGGGTCAGGCCTGTAGGGCGGCGGGACGACGGGGCCGCAGGTAGGGCGGCGGGGTCGGGGCCAGGGCCGCAGGTAGGGTCGCCCGAGCCGCGCGCAGGCGGCCTGAGCCGCGCGCGGGCCTGGCGCCGCCCGTACGGGTCGCGCGCGGGCCTGGCGCAGCCCGTACGGGTGGTGCGCGGGCCTGGCGCAGCCCGTACGGGCCGCGGACGGGTCGGGCGCGGCCCATACGTGCCGCGCGCAGGCCACAACGGGCAACACGGGGCGACGCGGAGGTCCCCGTCGCCCGTCGTAGCGCCTCCCAGGAGCGGCGCGCGGCGTGACGGGGCAGTAACCCGCCGGCGGAAGGAAAACTTGCCGCACGCCACGGGGTGTGCGGCATAGAGAGTAGTGATAGTAGTAGCAGTAGGAGTTGCAGCGGAAGCAACGAGGTGGTAAGTCCACCCACAGGATCGATCCAAGGGGATCGACCTGCTCTGATAGCATGTGAAAATTTAGAAGAAAGAAGAGGACTGCACTAGCAAGAATGGGGATACAAATAGGAAACCCTAGAAGGGTTGTACTCGCTATAGAGCACCCCACTACAGGCTAGAGCATAAGATAACATTCTGACACGTTCATACGTAGGATCGATTTTTCACGTGGTTCAAAAAATGTCTAGAAGTTTTGAATGCAATACACGGGTTTTTGGTGCGGTCAAAGATCGGTTTTTGCACGATCGAGCTAGAGGGGACGCTCAGCTGACGCTGCTGGGATTGTCGGTCCTTAGCAACACAGCGTCAAACGTCCGCCTTGATTTCTAAGCGCTCGTCGATTATATATAAAGGCAATGGCGCAAGCGGTGTCAATCGCGTCGGGGTTGTCGCTTGTTTCAGCTCCTCGTGTTTCCCTCCAGAGCTCCGTTGCTTTGCGATCGGGTATGTCATTTTAGAACTGATTCGTAAGGAAAGCGTTTCAAGCCGAAGGTTCCAAGCGTTTTGAGCTAGTTTCAGAGTGCGAACCTTGTCTCGAGTCGACGTGACTGCACTATCCTGATAGTTCTATTGGGGCGATTGATATACCCCCAACCCACCGAATGTGTTTCGGTGCTCACCGTTTGAGTGAGCTGCAGGTTTCACGAAGTGTGTGGGTTGACTTCGGAAGACCCACTCGATTCGGTGCCACATAGCAGCACTAGGAACATTCGAGATTGAAGTGACATTCCGTTCGGTGAAATTCGAGTGTCGAATTTCACCCCTTCGAAATGATAATCGAACATTCGTGAGTGTAGCGGTTCGAGGTTACTTGTGCGATTCGATCTTGTTCGCATGCTACAAGATTCGACGTTAACGTCGGAAGGGCTGCGTAGGCATTTTTTATTTCAATAGAAAGATATCAGAATAATGCACTATACTATATGAAACAACAAATATGTTCCGATTTATAACAGGATTCTTATTTCCTCATTACAAAACACGATAAACATTATTTTTTTGTGTTTGAGCGTTAGTTAATGGGGACTGATTTAGAGATTGATATTCTACTTGTTCTAATCATTTTTTAAAAGGTGTGTGTTTTTACTTGCATCTGATCATTTGCAATATCATAGTTGGTTTAGTGAGTTTGTTTATTTGCGGGTAGCTCTGATGTTCGTGGATGGCGTGGTCACACGCGTGTTGTCACGTGATACAGTTCCAAATTCAATGTGTGCGTTTTTTTTTTTTTTTTTTTTTTTTTTTTTTGTCACGTGCCCGTGAATTTAGCTTGCAATTCGCCGCATCATCGTAACAATGTAGGCTTACTTTAAAAACCCATTTCTTGCCTGGTTTTGCTCTGGAAAAAAAAACCTTGCAAGCACCACACATTCCCAACCACTCTTTTTTTTTTTCCAGCGCCTCAGATCCTTCCGTTCTCCCGCTGTCAACTCAAATTATCCGCTGACTTGGATTCTTGAATTTGAGCACCAGCTCAACTCTGGTCCCTCTGCCTGTCACTTCAGTACTGTGCGCTGCGTTCCGTTTCCCTTCCCAGCTGTCAATTCGTACTCATCCTGCTCTCTCTGGGATGTTCATACGGCGCGGCTCGGGAAATACCCCGCCCACGCCTTGGGATGCACGGGGCGCGGAGAAATCGTGGGGAGCGTGGGGCGAAGCCGGCCACCCAGAATCCCACCAGGTTTGGACCTAGCGCGGCCTTGCGTGGCTCAGTGAAACCCACCAGGTTGCCACCGAAAGCTCCGCGGCCCCCAAAAAACCAAAAGAACCCATCTCGTTCTTACGCGCCGATGCATGCGCGACTCGGTAGAAAACGAACGCGATCGGTCGGTAACATTGACGAGCGGGACATCCCGCGTATGCAACCGCGAGTTCGCGACACCAAAGGAGTGCTACTATTGGTTGTGCTATCTCGCAACTTATCGCGAACAAAATTCGCACAAGCATAGGTTCGGTAAGCGCACAGCGAGATCCGGTTCGGTTACAGCTGGCGCGATCTGGTAGGCTCCATGCCGGCTGACACGTGCAGCAATTTGAACAAGCCACACAGCTGTCGCTGTTTGGTCGATGCGCGATCGCGGTAATGTGTCAAGCACGTCCACGCAGTGTCCGGTCATTACTCCGAGCACGCCCACAGTTTCCACTTTCCGATCGCCAGTTGCACACCAAGCTCTACCCCCTCATGACCCACTGGGATACACCAGACACCAGTATCGCGGTTACGTTGTGTGCCGCGCTCGAATGTCCGCGAGCACATCGGTCGCGAGGTAGACGCGTCTAAGTCACACCCGGGTGTACAAGTAGTGACCACGCATCATGTTGACGCACGCGGTGAATATGAGTAGGTGCAATCTCACACGCCGCATGCATACCGTGAATCGCGTCGCAGCGCCAATACTTCACGACTCCATCAATGCTCCGGGCAACACAACCGCGCATCAAATCCATAATGCCGAACCACCTACTGCTCCCGTGCATGGGGTGAACGCGCTCAACCCCACATGGAGCACCCCATACGTGCAGCCAGTGGTTTTTGGGTCCCGAACGCCCACGTTTCACCCACAGCAACTGGTCAACGGGCTCCACCTAGCACCGCGGCCACAAATACCGTTTGCAGCAGCGGCGGTCGCGTTACAAAATCAACCGGGTAATGCGGCCGCGTCACCGTCTGTGCCCACTAGCCAGCTCTTTGGGATGCCTGTGCGTGGCTTCGTAGGGCCGCAGTACTCGAACGTGGGATTCAGGTACGGGTACATCGGCGTTCAACCAAACCCCATGGTGCACGCACCCGCATCTGTCGCGTCGCCTCCTATCGCGCCGTCAACACCATTCCCCAGCGCGATTCATCCGGAAAGCTAGCCAGCGGTGCAAGCCCCGCCAGACCCTAGAGAAGCATTAGTTGTCGGTTTGGACACACGGGCGCGAACAGACGGCCCATCATCGAACGCAGTTGTCGGTGGTTTAGGGCATGCGGTGAATGGTGGAGCGGGGATGAATGCAAGCGTGCGTGCACATTCGCCGCCAATATGGAACGTGAACTCACTGTTGCCCGGAAACCCCGACGTCCACATCCGCACCCCCACGCATCCGACTGTAGCGTACGCGACTTGTGTAGGTGGGCAACCACAGGCGAACGCGGGGAACACGGGGCGTGGAGCGGGTGCAAGCGGAAACGCGGTAAGGGGAAGAGGGACGGGTGCGAGAGGGAACGCGGGAGGAGGGACAGGGGAGAGAGGGAACGCGGATAGAGGGAGAGGTGCGAGACGAAGGGGTGGGAGAGCGAGCGCAGGACGTGCGACTGGTGTGGGAGCAAACAAGTATAGTGCGAACGGGCAGGGAGCGCATGGGGTGACAGGTAACGGCGGCAGGGGTAGCGGTGTTAACGCGAACGGCGGGTCCGGTAACGGGCCAGTTAATAGACCGCGTATAAGGAGGCGGAGAGTCGATGTAGTGCCGCACATGGCACGCAACGGCTCCCGGGAGGGGAGCGAGGGGGCAAGCAATGAGAATGACGAGGACGACGCTGATGATGCGGACGATAGTTGGAATGACGATGACGAAAACTACCTATCGAACTTGCTGTCCGCACTCAACGAGGAGGAGGCGGAAGACAACAAACGGGTGCGGGGTACGCGGAGGGACATTGAGGTCCCTATTGCGGATTGGAACAGGCTAGGTGTAGATGACACGCCGGCCGCGAAACAAGAGATGTGCTACGGAATCCTCTACGGTGTCTCTGAGGCCACGCTGAAGAAGTATCACGGTTGGGCCAACGAGTACAAGCGGTTCATGGCTCACGAGTTGCCTAAACTAAACGCGGGTAGGTTTGGTGATGAGGCCGCGTTGAGAAACGCGAACCCCGATGAGATAGGGGCCGCGCTCGAACAGAACATGGGTGGTGACTGGAAGATGGCGGAGGGCGACGAGCAGTGGTTCCACGGCCGTGAGACGAATCCGTGGCGCTTACGCAAATACGTGAACTTCCTCGCGAACGAGACAGTCGCGCAGGCGGACAGGATGGCCACACTCAAGCGGTCAGAGAAGACCTTGAAGAAGAGACGCCAGTGCACCCCGGCAATGCTGATGGGGCGTCTCAAGGCTTTGAACCTGCTCATCAAGCTGGACGGGGCCATCTTCAGGAAGCCCGTTCTGAACTTGCTACGCGACTTTGCGGAGTGTCGCATCTGGGTCCGCGTTCAAGTACGCGACCAGTACAAGCGGTTTATCGCGTAAGTAAACGTTCTCAGTGAACGCGTTTAATGCCCAACAATACCGCGTCCACTAACACCCGCACTATTGTCCCAATTGATGCGCAGGGAACATATGGATCGCCATCGGGGCACGGCCGCAGACACGTACACCCCGGACGAGTTCAAGCATATGATGCGGAAGACCAGCATGGACGCGATCTTGACCAGCTTCACACTAGCCAAGAAAGCATACACGTAGGCAATGCATCGCGACCTCTGCATCCGGACGATGACTGTGCTCGGTACTCACACTCTGGCCCGCGGATGCACGATCAAAAACCTGCAGCTGCCAGACATGATGATGTGGAAGCTCGGCGCAAAATGGGAGACCGATCCAGTGAGGAACGCGTTCATGTTTGTTTGCGCGTGCAGGACGGGCAAGACAAACAAGGACTTCTCGCTCAACTACATATCTGCTGTGAGGCACATATGAGGAAAGTAGAACGAGAAGGAATGACTAAGGAATGGAAGTGATACAAATATGCAACCCTAGAAATGTGTACCCCATATGGGCTACCCCACTATAGCCTACACAATATTATAATTTGACACACCCCCATAGGCAAAGTGGGGAAGAACAAGGGATCACAAGACCAGTCAAGCAAAGCAGACAAAGCTCAGGGTGGATCACAACGTCACCACACAGTCCGAGCACAAGGTCAAGGCCACAAGGCCAGTTCACATGCAGGAGTACACATATATATATAAGGCTCAAAAAGCAAGAGCAGGTATATATATATGTAAGAGTACAAGTAAGGTCAAGGGGTGAGCAAGTGAGGCAAGACAGGCACAAGACCCAGCTGAGTGCAGAAGCGCTGATGATCACAAGGCGCAAGTGCCTTGGTGAAAACATCAGCAGTGTTGGCCTCAGAGGCCACGTACGCAAGGCGCAACTGACCACGCTGCTGCAACTCACGAGCAAGAAAGTAGCGGAGAGCAATGTGCTTCGTTCTGTGCTCCAGGCGCTGCTCCCGACACAAGGCTAGCATGGCCTTGTTGTCTACGTACAGCACCGGAGGAGAACGAGGCGGCTCTCCGAGGTCAGTCAGCAGGTAGGTAAGCCAGCGAAGCTCCTGTGCAGCCATGGCCCCGGCGTAGATCTCAGCCTCACAACTGGAGCCGAGAACAGAAGACGAGCGAGTAGCCCGCCACGAAACAGAGCCGGAACCAAGGCTGAAGGTGTAACCCTGTGACGACCGCTGCGTAGCCTGGTCCTCTGCCCAAGAAGCGTCCGCGTGCCCAGTGAGGACCACTGGACTCCGCCCTCCAAGCACCAGCCCCATGCCCGACGTACTGCACAAGTAGCGCAACACCCTCTTCGCTGCAGCCATGTGCTCTGGTCTGTGTCTCGCAGGAGCAACATAGCGTGCAAGAATGCTAAGAGGGTTGATAGGGTAGGATTGTCATGCTTTGTAAAACCAGTTCAGCCCAATAACTTTGGTAAAGTATTGTATATGAAGGCAGCCTTCGAAAACTTCACATGTTGGAGTGATCACCTTCACGTGAAAAAAAACAAGAGGCGACGAAGTCGTCGTAGGGTTGCGGAGTTCTTATCGATCTACATATTTGTTCCATTACTGCATATTTGGCATTGTTGCATGATATTTACAAAAGCATGGCCTATTGACACACTGTGAGGAAAATCTGTCGGCTGCAAGAAAACCCAAGTCCTTTCTCGGTTGGTGTAAGGAAAATTCCTTTTTCCTTCCTTCGCGTCCCCGCTCAGCGCGTACACCACTGTAGCACCACAGTCAGCACCGTTACAACTCGCAAACCCTCGCATCGACAATCCTCCCGCCACCTTCGCACGTCGCACCCCGACCTCACGGCTTGGCGGGTAACCCGCGCTCCAGGCCTCCGCTTCGACATTTTCCCAACCCTCAGTTCCAGGCCGGTCACGCGACAACCGCAGTCCATTACCGTTACCACTGTATACTTCGCTATATATTCTTCGCTCATGCCTTTGCTCATTGTACGCTTGCTTCGATAGTGCAATTCTCGTTCGCTCACTCAATTGCACTCGTAACACTTGGTATTCAGAGCCTACGACCGCACCCACACCTTCGCTTCCTCACTATCTCAATTTTTTGGGGGGGGTAGACGTCTCTCAGCGACACAGCACCGCCGCTCGTAGTGCTCTCTCGTAAGCACGCACGGCCACGACAGAGGCTCTCGCTGAGCTCGCCCGACACCCCCGCCATGGCCGAATTCACACTCGCAACGTTGACGCAGGAGCAGCTTGGCCGTCTGGTGCGCCAACTTGAAGAATCGGCGCTCGAAATTGCGACGCTCATGGCGGAACGTGACTCCGCGCGTCAGCAATCCACGGTGAACACCCCAGCGCCACCACACGCACCAACAAATGCATCTGCACAATCGGACGAGCCGATCGTCATTTCGTCCAGCACACCAACACAACACGACAGCGTGGGACAGCGCTCAGGCGCAGCCAGTGATGGCGCCGCCCAGCCGATGCCTGGCATGGGAGGAAACTGTCAGATTTATATGACATAGCTACTGTAGGCTATAGTGGGGTAGCACATATGGGGTACAGCTTTCTGGGGTTTGTACATGTACCCAACTTTCCCTTAGTCATTTCATTCTCGTTCTCTTTTCTCATGGTATCGAGCAGGTTCCCTAGTGGGAACTATTCCTAGGGCCCACCGACTTTTTTTTCCTGCCCGGGGCGTGTCCCGCCCTTGCCCAAAGCGCGCTTAGGGTCGCGCCTTCCCTAGCGGCCCCGTCGCGTCGCCCTTAGCGGCCCGTCGCGCCGCCCTTAGCGGTTCCGTCGCGACGCCCTTCGCGGCCGCGTCGCGCCGCCCCTTCGTGGCCCCGTCGCGCCGCCCCTTTTGCGGCCCCGTCGTACCGCCCTCAGCGGCCCGTCGCCGCCCTCCCCCTGTGGCCCGTCGCCGCCCTTTCACCTGCGGCCCCGTTGCCACCCTTACAGCGGCCCCGTCGCTGCCCTTGCAGCAGCCCCGTCGCCGCCCTCCCCTTACGACTCGTCGCCGCCCTTACAGCGGCCCCGTCACCGCCCTTACAGCGGTCCCGTCGCCGCCCTCCCCTTACAGCCCGTCGCCGCCCTTTCAGCGGCCCCGCCGCCTTCTTCAGCGGCCCCATCGCCACCCCTGCAGCGGCCTCGACGCCGCCCCTTCAGCGGCACTCCCGCCGCCTCCTCTGCGGCCCCGTCGCCGCTCACTTCAGCGGCCCCGCCGCCCCTCGCGGCCCCACCTTCCTTAGCGGCACAGCCACCCAGCAGCCGAGCCGCCGAGCAGCCGAGCCGCCCAGCAGCCGAGCCGCCGAGCCGCCCAGCAGCCCAGCCGCCGAGCCGCCGAGCAGCCCAGCAGCCGAGCCGCCGAGCCGCCCAGCAGCCAACCGCCGAGCCGCTGAGCCGCCCAGCAGCCGAGCCGCCGAGCAGCCGAGCCGCCCAGCAGCCGAGCCGCCGAGCAGCCGAGCCGCCCGAGCCGAGCCGCCGAGCCGCCCAGTCACCGAGCCGCCGAGCCGCCCAGTTGCCGAGTCGCTGAGCCGCCGAGCCGCCCGAGCCGCCCTGTCCGGTAAGAGCAGCGCCTCTGTCACTGCACTGCCCTTACCCTACTGTTCGCGCTGCTAGTCTACTGCTGTCATGGCTACCTCTAGTGTCCTCGCTTTTGACGCTGGGGGTCGGGCCATTGACTTTGACGTCTGGATAGATGACCGGCAGCTTTTCCTACAGTGCGATAGGGCAGACGGTCTCTCCCTCTTTGACCTCACCTCTGGTGCCTCTCCTGCCTCTGCTGCTGATGCTGACGCCACTGTTTGCTCACAGTGGGCTACACGCGATGCTGCTGCACGTCTTGCTGTGCGTTGCCACCTGCCTACCTCTGAGCGTGCGCACTTTAGTCAGTACAAGAGTGCTGAGACCTTGTACGACGCTGTAGTTGCGCGCTACTCCTCCCCTGCCACTGCTGCACTGAGCCGCCTCATGCTACCGTACCTCTTCCCTGACCTTGCTGCCTTTCCCACAGTCGCTGACCTCATTATGCACCTCCGCACTAGTGACACTCGCGACCGCGCTGCGCTTCGTGCTGAGTTCTGCGCCAAGACCCCCCCCCCACCCCCCCCCCCCCCATGTACATCACCCTCTACTACATAGTCACCCGGCTCCCTGACTCCCTTCGCGTAGTCAAGGACCACTTCCTCTCAGTTTGCCCCACCACTCTCACCGTTGACCTCCTCGAGAAGGCCCTCCTAGCAGCAGAGAAGAGCATAGTAGCTGTAGGAGCCTCTCGTAGTGACCCTCGCACCCCCATCTTTGAGGGATGTTTTCCCTCCCCCCTTTTGCCCTCTGTTGCCTCTGCTGCTGCAACCGACCTCGTTGGGCTTGAGTCAGTCGGTGCGGCGTCTACCCCTAGCGGGAGACGCCGCCCTGGCAAGGGCAAGGAAGGCAGGGGCGCTGGAGGAGCTAGCAGGGGCGGTGGAGGAGGCGGTGGAGGCGGTGGAGGGGGTGGGGTTGGCGGTGGGGGTGGTGGCGGGGGCGGAGGTGTCGGTGGCGGCAGTGGAGGCGGAGGCGGCGGCGGCGGTGGCGGTGGGAGCGGAGGTGGCGGAGGTGGCGGCGGTGGAGGAGGCGGTGGCGGTGGAGGTGGAGCTGGTCGAGGTGGCGCTGCACTGTGGGTCGGCTCCGGTGGTGGTCAGCGCCAGCAGCAGCAGCGCACTCGTGACATCCCCCCCCCCTCAGCAGCTCCGTGAGTGGTACGATGCACGCCAGCGGGGTGGGGGTACTGGTCCGTGCACCTACGTCCTACGCACCAGCGACCGCGCAGGTGAGCAGTGCGGGGGTGCGCACTCCACCCAGCGCTTCTTTGGCCGCCTGACGGACGCTTGGCGTCACCAGTTCCCGGAGGCCACTGAGATCCCCCGCTAGGGCGAGCTTTCTAGGGCGGGAGTAGCTGTCTTTGACCTTGACTTTGATGCTATTCTTGCTGCCATGTACTGTATGCTGTGACTATTAGTGATGAGGGTGACTGTTACTGGTGTTTTCCGCCCGACCCGGGCATTGAGACTGCTGCTCTAGGTACTGGTGAGGCTGCTGCTCTAGGTGCTAGCGAGGCTCCTGCTCTAGGTGCTCGTGCGTTTGCTCCCTCAGGTGCTGGTGAGTCTGCTCTCTCAGGTACTGCGTCGGCTTCGGCCTCCCACACCTTCACCCTTGACTTAGGGGCTTCTCGC